ACCTAGGAGTCATGCAGATTCCATTGCTAGGCACTCTTCCAAATACAACTACGGGAGCCATTACTTATTCATTCATTGAGCATCAAGTGCATTCTGTGCACAGAATGCTATCCTAGCACCATTTTTGGGCCCCTTAATATTTAAAAGAACACACGGGCAAGAATGCCACAAGCAAGGCAGTTAAAAGACTGCTCTGCCTACTGTGACTCCCATGAAATGCATCCTTCCCACTGCTTCCCAAATGATCTTTATAAAACGCAGAAAAAAATTAGGTGATTTCCTTGCTCAAAGACTGCCAAGGGCTCCCTGTTGCCTGCAAGATGAAGTTTCTTATGTTGGTAGTCAAAACTCTTCCAGATGGGGCCCAGCCCAACTTTCTGCTTTTACCCACCATTTCATACCCTCACAAATTCTCAGCTACTCAGCTACTTATTCTCCACTCAAAGCAGATCCCTCACTATGCTCCAAGTGGTTTCCCATGTGTTTCTGCTTCTGTGTCTTTGCTGATGCTGTTCCTTCTGTTTGGAATTCCCTTGCTCACTTTTCCACACTCAAACACAGTTCATTCCTCAAAGGCATGTCCAGACACCTCCTTTTCTAAGAACAATCCATGATATTCTGCCTCAGAATCATAATCCCTTTCTCCTGTCTGTCCCTTGTTCTGACCTGTCTTTCTCTTGTCCTGCCTTGCACAATTATTCATGAGAAACAAAATGACAATCTGAATCCTCCCTGTGTCTCCCAGGAGACTGTTACATAGAAAGGATCTGAAGTTAGCATTTGTTGGACTGAACAGAATGATGTTTCCTAAAAGTAGATGAGTCTGTTGGGTTGGTGGCACTAGTTTTAGGGGCTTCTACAAATGGCATTACCTTCCTTCAGGTACTGGAAGGAGGTGCAGAGAAAAGAACCACCAAACAACCCAACCAACCTTCTGACCAAGGAAATGGAGTGGGTCATGGGGGAAAGATATAAAAAGCAAAAAATGCCAAGAGCAATCAGCATGGTTTATTTATAGCATCATAGAGTATTGGGCTTATGGTGTCAAGAGGCTCTATACCAGTCCAGTTGTGCCTCTTTTATTTTTGTTGGTACTCGGGACTGAACTGAGGCCTTTCATACTGAGCTATATCCCCAAACGTTTTTATTTATCTATTTTTGAAACAGAGTCTCAGTAAGTTAGTTGCTGCTCAGGCTGGGCTTGAATTTGCAATTCTCCTACCTCCACAGGGATTATAGGCACATGCCACCACAGCAGTCTAAGATGTGCCTCTAGATGAAACCCCTCTAGATGAAATCTCTCCCCTTCACTGTTGCCAGTTTTTCCCCTGTAAAATATGGTAGGTGGAACTCTGAAAAGACAGTGTGTTTGGCTCTATCCCCCTACAACTCTCTGATACTTTTCCTAGAAGTCTGGCTCCCCAAACCATTGGTCACAATTGCTTCTCCAACATCTTCCATAGGAAGCTTTTCTGCTTCTTTCAGAATGATTATTTCTGACTCGGTCTTAGAGGGTATGTTTCTACATGTTCTCAAAGGAAAACACCCATGGGGTTCTTGCCTGCTTGAAGTAAATACCACCTTAAGCTAGCCATCCCAACTGTAAACTGGAAATAACACCAGACTGCAGGGATATTGAGGGGGGCTAATTATATACAGAGTCTTTAGGAGCTGAGCAGATACACAAGTACTCTGGAAGTTCTTGGCATAATACTATAGCATTACAATAATTCTGGCTTGCAAATTATAGCCCAGCAGAGGCATCACATGGGAAAGCTGTTCTGACCCCATGGCCTGCTGAGAGTGAAATGGAAAAAATAAGTTATGAAATAGAACTTCTCTTCCTAGATCTCTGGAAAAGGCATAGATAACTCTTCCTTTTGCTGCCCATATGCATGGAACAAGCTTCCAGATCCTAGAGAGGACTTTCTTGCCCCAGGTGGCCTGGACTGCTGCTAGATCTAGCTACCACTCCTTCCCAGAGGTAGAAGTGGGAAGGGAAGGAGTTGGAGAGGATTCTTGGTTGGATAAAAGGTGTTGCTTAAGATGAGAAGTCCTTGCCTTTCAGGTTTGCTGTTGGGGCCTCTATGCAGGACAATTAAATGCTTAAGCAGCACAGCAGTGATATAAAGGGTAATTTGATATGTATTAGTCTAGGGATACCCAAAATAAACAGCTGTCAGTTTCTGGGTGTTTTCCCTATCTCCAGACCCCCCACCCCATTATTTCCTTGAAATGCTTGAATAGAACTCAGGTAAGAACAAGCTAGTGACATTACTGCAGTGGCGGTGGTTGGGCAGGGGGAACCAGTCACAAAGATGATTCAGAAAATTCCACTGGCCCTAGAAGATGACAGCCCTGTCTGACCATATAGATGCATATAGCGCCATACCAGTGGAACGTTAGCAGCCAGTCCTACTGCACTGCTGTGTGGCTGACGGAGCTCTTCTTCATGGTGAGCCCCAAGTTGGCCTCATGGTTCCATTTCTTGGCTATGGCCAAAGGACTGAGTTTTTGGGTCACAGAGATAGACAGGTCACAGCTCTGGTCCTCCAGGTCCCAGTGTCTCAGACTGAGGGTGACCTCCAGCTCCAGCAGGCCCTGGGCCTTGCTGCCTCCCCCAACAGGTCTACTGTTCCTACAGGAAACAGGAAAAATAGACAGCTATGTCTATAATGTACACACAGCAGATGGATTTGAGGTATTGTTCTAGTAAATCAATATTCTTAGTGAATTTCTTAGCTCTTAGGTTTCTCCCTCACATTTTGGGTTTAAGCTACATTCTGGGGCTTGCCTAACCAAACCCCAAAAAGCAGTTACCTCATTTTCTGGCTTGATTTTTGCTACAACGGGGAGTGTGCCATCTCCCCTGGCTGTGGACCCTAGGAAAAGTTACCCTGCGCAAGCAGTGCCCCTCTTTCACCCTGGATTTTCTCACTTTTGGCTAGTCACCAAAGAATAGTCTGAAGTTGCATCGTTATGTGCCGCCAGATTCGAGAACTGGCATCCAGCCCAATCTGTGAGACCTTTCCGGGGCCTCAGTTTCTCCGTCTGTAACATGAAATTTCTGGATTAAATGTAGCCTTGCCAGCTCCTACAACCGTAGGCATTTAACGTTCCCACAGCTCGCCTTTTCAGGTTGGCATCGAACAGGGTTAAAGCCCCGACTTCCTCAGAGGTGAAAAGGTAAGCAAACACTCCGACCTCCCCTTAGTATTGCTCTGCGATTGGTGCCGCGTCCGGCCCCCGCCGCCTATCCAGGCCGCATCCGTCATACGGATTGCTAATACGCTCATTAGCATAAAGATTCCTCCGAAGACCTGGCGCCTGGGGACTGAACTGGAGTCTCTGTCCCTTTAAGAAGGGCGACCGGCAGTCTGTACCTAAGGGACACTTGCCACCGCATTTCCTCCGTACGGACCATGCGGTAAACTGGAAAGGTTAATCCCACCCCGACAGAGGGCATTCCGGGGGTGTGCAGCGCGCCAGTCACAGGGGACTGAGGACCGGTTTGGCTCCGCGCGCAGCAGGCTCAGCCTGGCAAACTCTCGCCTGAGGCGGCGGCGGTCGGCGAGTGAG